CCTCAGAACGTTACAGAGGAGCTCTCTACCCTCCTCTCCACACTAACACACTTCACCCTCAGAACGTTACAGAGGAGCTCTCTACCCTGCTCTCCACACTAACACACTTCACCCTCAGAACGTTACAGAGGAGCTCTCTACCCTGCTCTCCACACTAACACACTTCACCCTCAGAACGTTACAGAGGAGCTCTCTACCCTGCTCTCCACACTAACACACTTCACCCTCAGAACGTTACAGAGGAGCTCTCTACCCTCCTCTCCACACTAACACACTTCACCCTCAGAACGTTACAGAGGAGCTCTCTACCCTCCTCTCCACACTAACACACTTCACCCTCAGAACGTTACAGAGGAGCTCTCTACCCTGCTCTCCACACTAACACACTTCACCCTCAGAACGTTACAGAGGAGCTCTCTACCCTGCTCTCCACACTAACACACTTCACCCTCAGAACGTTACAGAGGAGCTCTCTACCCTGCTCTCCACACTAACACACTTCACCCTCAGAACGTTACAGAGGAGCTCTCTACCCTCCTCTCCACACTAACACACTTCACCCTCAGAACGTTACAGAGGAGCTCTCTACCCTGCTCTCCACACTAACACACTTCACCCTCAGAACGTTACAGAGGAGCTCTCTACCCTGCCTCTCCACACTAACACACTTCACCCTCAGAACGTTACAGAGGAGCTCTCTACCCTGCTCTCCACACTAACACACTTCACCCTCAGAACGTTACAGAGGAGCTCTCTACCCTCCTCTCCACACTAACACACTTCACCCTCAGAACGTTACAGAGGAGCTCTCTACCCTGCTCTCCACACTAACACACTTCACCCTCAGAACGTTACAGAGGAGCTCTCTACCCTCCTCTCCACACTAACACACTTCACCCTCAGAACGTTACAGAGGAGCTCTCTACCCTCCTCTCCACACTAACACACTTCACCCTCAGAACGTTACAGAGGAGCTCTCTACCCTGCTCTCCACACTAACACACTTCACCCTCAGAACGTTACAGAGGAGCTCTCTACCCTGCTCTCCACACTAACACACTTCACCCTCAGAACGTTACAGAGGAGCTCTCTACCCTGCTCTCCACACTAACACACTTCACCCTCAGAACGTTACAGAGGAGCTCTCTACCCTGCTCTCCACACTAACACACTTCACCCTCAGAACGTTACAGAGGAGCTCTCTACCCTGCTCTCCACACTAACACACTTCACCCTCAGAACGTTACAGAGGAGCTCTCTACCCTCCTCTCCACACTAACACACTTCACCCTCAGAACGTTACAGAGGAGCTCTCTACCCTGCTCTCCACACTAACACACTTCACCCTCAGAACGTTACAGAGGAGCTCTCTACCCTGCTCTCCACACTAACACACTTCACCCTCAGAACGTTACAGAGGAGCTCTCTACCCTCCTCTCCACACTAACACACTTCACCCTCAGAACGTTACAGAGGAGCTCTCTACCCTCCTCTCCACACTAACACACTTCACCCTCAGAACGTTACAGAGGAGCTCTCTACCCTCCTCTCCACACTAACACACTTCACCCTCAGAACGTTACAGAGGAGCTCTCTACCCTGCTCTCCACACTAACACACTTCACCCTCAGAACGTTACAGAGGAGCTCTCTACCCTGCCTCTCCACACTAACACACTTCACCCTCAGAACGTTACAGAGGAGCTCTCTACCCTGCTCTCCACACTAACACACTTCACCCTCAGAACGTTACAGAGGAGCTCTCTACCCTGCTCTCCACACTAACACACTTCACCCTCAGAACGTTACAGAGGAGCTCTCTACCCTGCTCTCCACACTAACACACTTCACCCTCAGAACGTTACAGAGGAGCTCTCTACCCTCCTCTCCACACTAACACACTTCACCCTCAGAACGTTACAGAGGAGCTCTCTACCCTCCTCTCCACACTAACACACTTCACCCTCAGAACGTTACAGAGGAGCTCTCTACCCTGCTCTCCACACTAACACACTTCACCCTCAGAACGTTACAGAGGAGCTCTCTACCCTGCTCTCCACACTAACACACTTCACCCTCAGAACGTTACAGAGGAGCTCTCTACCCTGCTCTCCACACTAACACACTTCACCCTCAGAACGTTACAGAGGAGCTCTCTACCCTGCTCTCCACACTAACACACTTCACCCTCAGAACGTTACAGAGGAGCTCTCTACCCTGCTCTCCACACTAACACACTTCACCCTCAGAACGTTACAGAGGAGCTCTCTACCCTGCTCTCCACACTAACACACTTCACCCTCAGAACGTTACAGAGGAGCTCTCTACCCTGCTCTCCACACTAACACACTTCACCCTCAGAACGTTACAGAGGAGCTCTCTACCCTGCTCTCCACACTAACACACTTCACCCTCAGAACGTTACAGAGGAGCTCTCTACCCTGCTCTCCACACTAACACACTTCACCCTCAGAACGTTACAGAGGAGCTCTCTACCCTCCTCTCCACACTAACACACTTCACCCTCAGAACGTTACAGAGGAGCTCTCTACCCTGCTCTCCACACTAACACACTTCACCCTCAGAACGTTACAGAGGAGCTCTCTACCCTGCTCTCCACACTAACACACTTCACCCTCAGAACGTTACAGAGGAGCTCTCTACCCTGCTCTCCACACTAACACACTTCACCCTCAGAACGTTACAGAGGAGCTCTCTACCCTGCTCTCCACACTAACACACTTCACCCTCAGAACGTTACAGAGGAGCTCTCTACCCTGCTCTCCACACTAACACACTTCACCCTCAGAACGTTACAGAGGAGCTCTCTACCCTGCTCTCCACACTAACACACTTCACCCTCAGAACGTTACAGAGGAGCTCTCTACCCTGCTCTCCACACTAACACACTTCACCCTCAGAACGTTACAGAGGAGCTCTCTACCCTGCTCTCCACACTAACACACTTCACCCTCAGAACGTTACAGAGGAGCTCTCTACCCTCCTCTCCACACTAACACACTTCACCCTCAGAACGTTACAGAGGAGCTCTCTACCCTGCTCTCCACACTAACACACTTCACCCTCAGAACGTTACAGAGGAGCTCTCTACCCTGCTCTCCACACTAACACACTTCACCCTCAGAACGTTACAGAGGAGCTCTCTACCCTCCTCTCCACACTAACACACTTCACCCTCAGAACGTTACAGAGGAGCTCTCTACCCTCCTCTCCACACTAACACACTTCACCCTCAGAACGTTACAGAGGAGCTCTCTACCCTGCTCTCCACACTAACACACTTCACCCTCAGAACGTTACAGAGGAGCTCTCTACCCTGCTCTCCACACTAACACACTTCACCCTCAGAACGTTACAGAGGAGCTCTCTACCCTGCTCTCCACACTAACACACTTCACCCTCAGAACGTTACAGAGGAGCTCTCTACCCTGCTCTCCACACTAACACACTTCACCCTCAGAACGTTACAGAGGAGCTCTCTACCCTGCTCTCCACACTAACACACTTCACCCTCAGAACGTTACAGAGGAGCTCTCTACCCTGCTCTCCACACTAACACACTTCACCCTCAGAACGTTACAGAGGAGCTCTCTACCCTCCTCTCCACACTAACACACTTCACCCTCAGAACGTTACAGAGGAGCTCTCTACCCTCCTCTCCACACTAACACACTTCACCCTCAGAACGTTACAGAGGAGCTCTCTACCCTGCTCTCCACACTAACACACTTCACCCTCAGAACGTTACAGAGGAGCTCTCTACCCTCCTCTCCACACTAACACACTTCACCCTCAGAACGTTACAGAGGAGCTCTCTACCCTGCCTCTCCACACTAACACACTTCACCCTCAGAACGTTACAGAGGAGCTCTCTACCCTGCCTCTCCACACTAACACACTTCACCCTCAGAACGTTACAGAGGAGCTCTCTACCCTGCCTCTCCACACTAACACACTTCACCCTCAGAACGTTACAGAGGAGCTCTCTACCCTGCTCTCCACACTAACACACTTCACCCTCAGAACGTTACAGAGGAGCTCTCTACCCTGCCTCTCCACACTAACACACTTCACCCTCAGAACGTTACAGAGGAGCTCTCTACCCTCCTCTCCACACTAACACACTTCACCCTCAGAACGTTACAGAGGAGCTCTCTACCCTGCTCTCCACACTAACACACTTCACCCTCAGAACGTTACAGAGGAGCTCTCTACCCTGCTCTCCACACTAACACACTTCACCCTCAGAACGTTACAGAGGAGCTCTCTACCCTCCTCTCCACACTAACACACTTCACCCTCAGAACGTTACAGAGGAGCTCTCTACCCTGCTCTCCACACTAACACACTTCACCCTCAGAACGTTACAGAGGAGCTCTCTACCCTCCTCTCCACACTAACACACTTCACCCTCAGAACGTTACAGAGGAGCTCTCTACCCTCCTCTCCACACTAACACACTTCACCCTCAGAACGTTACAGAGGAGCTCTCTACCCTGCTCTCCACACTAACACACTTCACCCTCAGAACGTTACAGAGGAGCTCTCTACCCTCCTCTCCACACTAACACACTTCACCCTCAGAACGTTACAGAGGAGCTCTCTACCCTGCCTCTCCACACTAACACACTTCACCCTCAGAACGTTACAGAGGAGCTCTCTACCCTGCCTCTCCACACTAACACACTTCACCCTCAGAACGTTACAGAGGAGCTCTCTACCCTGCCTCTCCACACTAACACACTTCACCCTCAGAACGTTACAGAGGAGCTCTCTACCCTGCTCTCCACACTAACACACTTCACCCTCAGAACGTTACAGAGGAGCTCTCTACCCTGCCTCTCCACACTAACACACTTCACCCTCAGAACGTTACAGAGGAGCTCTCTACCCTCCTCTCCACACTAACACACTTCACCCTCAGAACGTTACAGAGGAGCTCTCTACCCTGCTCTCCACACTAACACACTTCACCCTCAGAACGTTACAGAGGAGCTCTCTACCCTGCTCTCCACACTAACACACTTCACCCTGCCCTGTCCGTCCCACATAGTACAGTTTGTAATGACACCCCGCTTCCTGGAGGGGGCAGCTAACTACGACGCCAGGGTGACACCTGGTGATGATGGGTGTTTGGAAGTGATTGTTAGTGAGGAGTACAGGAACGTTTTCACTTCGCTTCTCATCGCGCGTGTCCAGGTGGGTGATTACTTTTTAAGGTGTTTACTTATTAGTTTTAGCAGAATTTAATAAGATTTGCAGCAGCATTTCTGCCAATGCTGGCGTAACTTGTTGATTTATTGAGTTGTATGGGTGGTTTTAGAATTAAGATATTTAATTTTATGTTCAGTTGAAAACGACTTATAGCAAAACGAGTCTTATTTAGCAGCTTTGCGAATGTGCTGTTTTAAGATAAGAGTTAACTGGTTTCCTTAACAGGCAGTCGAAGAGACAGTCGTGACTCAAGATATACCTTGTTCACAAGATGTCAACTGGGACAGACTCAGCAAACAGGTTTTTTACTTGATTGACGATTCCAACCCTTTCTCTGGTCCGACATCTACTTCCAAGTGAAGCAAGCACGTCGAAGCGGCAACGTCCTCCGACCTTTTTTATCTATCAGTATTTCATCGTTTGATATTGTTTATAGAATTATGAATGCCTAAATTTTTGTCGTTTTGAATGAAACTAATCGTAATTTATTAAAAACTTCGCAGCAAATGCAAATGCTTCTTATCTGTATTTTCTCCAACTAACATCACTTAACTTTGGGCTCAATTTGGAACAAATATTTTACGAGCATCACCCATGCTTAGTTTCACTTTATAAATTATTAGTTCCTCTTTCTTTCAGTTTGACGCTCACGTTACGATCAAAGAGAATAGTATCTCAGTAACAGCATCACCTGACAAAGTTAAAGAAGTGGGATTCTTTCTTAAGCAGCGGGAGAAACACATTAGATCTCAGTAACAGCATCACCTGACAAAGTTAAAGAAGTGGGCTTCTTTCTTAAGCAGCGGGAAAAACACATCAGATTGTTATAACCAAATTATGTTAACAGTTTAAATGACATTAAGTGTAATGGACTCTGGTGTGAATCATAATATTGCGAATGGCTGGCTTAGTTTGAGGGTCATTTGGATGTTGGAAGCTTGCGTTTACTTCCAGTTTATAGGCGTCAGCGATCAACATGTTGATTGCGATGCATTACCAATACCAGGCCGCGCCGCGCGTCATTACCATTTAGAATGCTTCTCTGGTTCGGTTGCGATAACTATAAGCATTCTATGATGCGCGGTGCAGCCCAGTAGTGCATCCGCTACAACTTAATTACCAGGTGTTGTTGAAATGAATAATGTTGTAAATATTCGATTATAATTACAACACTGGATGGGCTTTGTCCTAAAAATTCAATCGTAAAATTGTCTATGATCTTCCTAGTTCACCCAATTGCCATGGTTAAAAAAGGTTTCCATTTTCGTCAGTCTCATAATCCAAATGAAGCTAACAGTAACATTAATTGCATTTACAGTTTTATATACTATCCCAGATCAAGGAGATGCTCTCAATTTAGTCATTAGTAACATTTATAATTCATTGTTTTCTATATAAATCTAAGTGCTAAGATCATGTGTTATTTTTATGAATCCCCTCCAGTTTTACTGGGCCGCGCTCAGCCTGTCATTCCGCATAATCTCTATTCGGAGTTTAGAACATGATAGGTCCCCAGGTAACTCCAGTTCTCACAGATATACCGGCCGAGAGAGGTGTTGCTAAACCAGCACACGAAAAGGTGTGTAAAATCTCAATATGTCTATAGTTATACCATGCTTGATTCTGCACTTGCTCTATCCATAGCCTGTCGCTTGTTAACGGGTGATACTCGTAAAATATCTGTTCCATATATTGGACCGTCGACGAGTCCAACTCGGCGCGCGTCCTGGTAGGTTGTAAACCTACAAAAAGAAGTTCAAAGTTACCGCATGCATGGCAATTCGTGTTACTGGGCCGCGCTCAGCCTGTCATTCCACCTAATCTCTATTCGTTTATATATGTTTAGCCTGAGGTGAGTGAGGTCCCCAGGTAAAATTTGTGGAGTGTGTTTTCGGTGGAGATACATATAAGTAGAACCTAAGCTAGGCCATAAGCACGAATCTCTTGAAAACTAAAACATAACTCCCCTTCCTAAAATTAAACAAATTGAATGATTTTACTGTAACGAAGATGTAATTAGATCGAACGCAGAAATACATATACAAATACGCGAGATACATATACAAATACTTTGAAATTCGCGCAGGCGTTCGATCTAATTCCTGATCCTAGATCGAACCGGTTCGATTTAATTTCGGCGTTCGATCTAATTACATCTTGGTGACAGTTAGAGGATTAGCCAGTAAAATTTCAAGAGTTCACATAGCCATGTGTATATGCGTACTGTGCGACGCGCTTGTTTCACAACCTTCGGCGGTCGCGCGCTACTGTAACATGTAAGCGAGAGGGCTCTGCTTAGAGCAATTTCTAGAGCATAACGCGCAGTTTTGCTTAACGGATGCTACTCGTCTAAATTTCTTCGAAGTAGCGTGCGCCGCTTTCTTCTCGAACTTGCCCGATGGCAAGTGCTACGAAGTAGCGCGCGCCGGGCCAGACCATTAACAATGGTCAAAGTTTTGCTAGTACTGTAGTAGTAAAGTTGTTTCAAATTTCCCTCATTCAAACGACGATTTGGCGTCCCCCTCCGCACAGCAGGGTCGGCGGGGGCCTTTGTTACGCCACTACATACGAGGTTTCGCATTAGCTGCCACAACCTTTACATTGAGAGGGGTCGTTACGAAACCCTTTGTATCACGTGGTGATCCCCACTGTCGTTTCACTATAGTAGTGAGTTTCTACGATACAGGGGAGCCGCGCACTCGTGCGCGGCGGGTCATACAACGTATGACAAAACCCCCCTAGTACCAAGAAAACATCGATGGTACAGTTTCTGCTTTTTCAGCAAAGGGCTTAAGCCTATGAGGACGAAATTTATGTTTTAATTGACTGTTTACTCTGCTCTTGATTTAACGGGTGATACTCGTAAAATATCTGTTCCATATATTGGACCGTTGACGAGTCCAACTCGGCGCGCGTCCTGGTAGGTTGTAAATCTACAACTCTTGACCATTGTTAATGATCTGGCCCGGCGCGGCGCGCGCTACTTCGAAAAAATTTAGACGAGTAACATCTATCAACTTTACTCCTCAAGTTAAAGAAATATTTAACTACCATCCCAAAAAAATTACTGACCTAGCCGGTTTGCTACAAGCGTGCTAAATCACTCTACAGTCGATCTTCGAGATTGTTCTAAAAGGGCCCCCAAAAGTTGAAACCAACTGCAATCGATGTATTTTCGGACGCTGATTTCGAATCACCCCCACGACATAGAGTTAAAATGCTCCCCTGACGAGATATTGGCGAAAAACTGTCTCGATCAAGTGATATGACCGTATAAGGAAGTTACTCTAATTTCTCGTTAGGGTTAGGGTTTCAGCATATGCTTTTGTTAAGGATTGGGTTAGAGTTAGGGTTGGGATCAGACTAGAGGGTTAGGGTTTTGAATAGTCGTTCAGGGCGAGCTAGAGAACGGGTTGAAAAAATCACGTGACAGTCGAGTGTAGAGTGATTAATCATCATCCGGTTTGCTATCCGATAAAACTCTAGACCCTACAAAATTTACTACCACAGCAAGAGCAATCCATTCAATTCTCAATGTGAACGAACAATTTACAGCCTACTATTATTAGAGCCCAGATTTTCACTCAAATACTGGCCAATGCATAATGCTATAGGACCTCAAAATAAGATCGAACTCTACAAATCCGATCTATTCATAGAAAAATAGTATTATAAAACCAAAAACATTAGAACATGGAACATTTACACCAATAGTCCTATCAATTTTGTATATTCTTAAAGGTTTGATTTTATATAGGGTCATTGCTATATTATGTGTATATTGTTTGAATAATTTTATAAAATAGTCCTATCAACAACATAACAGGTGGAATGGGAAAAGAAGCAAATGCTTTTTTTCAAAAAGCTCGCTGACAGAAAATCAGGACAAAGATACAGTGAGGCAATGACATTTATCAGGAAAAAGAATAAGATTTTACTTATTGAGAACACTAATTATAGCTCTTAGAGGAGAAAGAGGGATAAAAAGTGGTAGCGCTGTTAAAATATCAGAACTAGAAATAAATTTAGAGCTAGGCTACTTCTACTATTTAAAGGGTTTTTATGTTTTATAAAATTTACTTGGGCACGTTCTCAGAAGCGGTGATGACACTCCCGCCTTCTTATCTTTCAGATTTGCATGTTTAGGATGTTTTGACTACAAAGGAATGAGGGGCAGACCTCGTTCAAATTTATTTGATTTATTATTAAAAGACATTATGACAAAGAAAATTATTGTGATTGTAAATAAAAGATTTAGTTTTAGTAATTTCAACGATTTAGTGTACAAAGCTCATGATAGACGTTTATGGAGAAGCTATGGGTGAGTCGAGACTACTCGGCCACTCGATTTTATGATTTAATTTCTATTATCTTGTGTTTGCTGTATATAGTTGATTAATAATAATAATAAAATTTACTAAGATTTTTTTATTGAATTTTATATTGAATTTTTATATAGGGTCAGTGCTATATTATGTGTATATTTTTTGAATTTTTCTCTTTTGTTCAATTACAAAACATTTCTAGCTTGTTTATTTGGTATTGTAACTATATTCCCAAGTTATTTAACGTGATTTCCGGGATGAATAGCTGACGTAAATTCGTGGCGCTAACCTTGAACACCAAAATCAACATGCATGGGGTTGTTCACATGTCATACAAAAGTTACTTTTGCTGTTTGTCACCAAAAAGAGATATACAACAAATATGAAGACAAACTGTTTTTTTAGCACGGCTGCAGTTAACTCATAGTAAGGTTATTGCTGTTACAAACATATATGGATTTCAAATCCACCCTATATATCACCCTTGTGACACCTTCAAAAGTTAGATTTAGGGCATACAACACATACTTTATTCGCTGCAATGTACGTACAGTTAGTTTGACACAGTTAGAATATGGTTAGTTCCAAATAATGAAGTTTAATGATTTATACCTCATAAGTCATTGAATTTAGTGCTGGTATATTCGGCCAATTCTTCAGTTTTTGATATCCCATGAAATAATTTAATTAAAGTTTTCGTTGGCAACTTCCTCATTATTTAGCCCAGTAACTCAAATCAAAACATAATGATACATTTAAAGATCATCAAAAATGTTCATAAAAATATTTTTTAATTTCATAAATCAGACATTTCAAACTAGGAGGACAAACCATTGTAAAACAATTGTGTATTGCAGGGTTAATTTATATTAAGACCATCAAATATGCTGACATTACTAGTATTGATTGTTTTTTGCAATTAAATGACTGTTTGCTATCATAAATATGACACGATTGAATGAAAATCGATGAACTATATCCCTCAGAATAATCAGCCCTTAAAATTCTCTCAGAATTTTCCAAACGATTCTTCATTCCCAAATGATTGCTGTTCGCTGTTTGCATTGATTATATATTAAAACAAAGACTTGAGTCGAAGAAAATTAACATTGCAATGCAATGCACAATTTTCTGGCTTGGGTTATTTTCAGCACATCCTGTAGATCCAAGCTTGTTTGAAATTGTGTTTTTTGTTATTTGTTAATAATAAAGCTTGTTTCAGAGAGTTTGATGTAAGTCGTAAGACAATGGCTGATAAGCGCAAACTTCTTGGTGACATTGATAGATGTCACAAAAAGGTTGCTGAAGGTGTTGAATCTTTCAAGGAGACTTGGAAAAAGCTTCAGCAAGCATGTAATCCCAATCAGAAGGAAAAATATGAACAAGATCTCAAGAAGGAAATAAAGAAGTTGCAAAGGCTACGAGATCAGATAAAAACTTGGTGTGCATCAAATGAGGTTAAGGACAAAAGGCCGCTTTTAGAAGACAGAAAACTTATAGAAACTCAGATGGAAACGTTCAAAATTGTTGAAAGAGACTCCAAAACTAAGGCATACTCTAAAGAGGCATTAGGATTACCTGCAAAGATAGATCCTGCTGAAAAAGAAAAGTATGAGTTACGGGAGTGGTTGAATAAGACAATTGAATCTTTAAACATTGAAACAGACAAACTGGAGGCAGATGTTGAAACCATTCATGCTCATAATAGGAAAGGTAAAAGTAAAGATAAGCAACAGGAAAAGCTGGATGAACTTCAGGAATTTATCGCTAAGCACAGGTGGCATATTGTCCGTCTTGAAGCATTGCTTCGAATGTTGGATAACGACAATATTGAGGTCGATGATGTGAAAGGGATCCAGGAAGATGTTGACTTCTATCTGACAGATTATAAAGAACCTGATTACGTTGACAATGAATACCTGTACACTGATATTGTTGATCCAGACATCTTGAACAGTTCATTACTAACAGACAATAGGTTAACATCAAATCACTCTGATGATGAGCTTGACGAGGATGAAGAGAGTAACATGGATGATAGTTTTTCTCAAGTTTCCCACGAGTCCTCACAACACAACAACGATTTCAGTGAGATACCACCCACCAGTCCCACCACCAAGGCTGCTATTAAAGCAAAGACTATTGTTCCTCCAGCTCCACCAGCAGCTGCAGTAGCTGCACCAAGATCACGCCACCCAACACCTAACTCCAGTACCCCAAGTGTTACCACCCCTCCTGCAAGTATAGCACCCCAACCAGTTCTGGTCAAACCTCCTCAACCCAAAACCCCACCAAACAATTTAATTTCACCACCAGTTTTCTCTTCAGCTCCTCCAAGTTCGACGACAAGTTCACTGTACACGAACCATCATGTACCGAGCACTGAATCTGTTAGATCACCACCATCAGTCCCAACACCTGCCCCCTCCAGCACCCCTTCAGAAAACATTCAGAGTACAGAAGAAGATTTAAACCAAGAAGCATTTGTGTTGGATCCTATTTTGGGTGTCAGTCCTCTGGGACCTCTTCCCCTGACAACAGAAAGAGCCATGCAAATGGAAATGTTAGAAGCAGCTGCTGGCAATCTCCCCCAGCCTAACGACTCTAATAGAGTGAGATCGTTAAACCTGATAAATTCATTCCCAAATTTCCCAGCTCAGATCCCTCCTCATCACTACCATAGCTATGACCCAAAACACAACTTCGACTCCTTTGAGTACTTCAAAAATTTGGTTCCTGACACCCTGTTTTTCATATTTTACTTCTACGAGGGCACGAGAGCTCAGTACTACGCTGCCAAGGCTCTGAAAGAGCAGCACTGGAGGTTCCACAAAAAGATCAAAATGTGGTTTCAGAGGTATGAAGAGCCCAAAGAGATTGTAGAGTCTCACGAGACTGGGACTTACGTGTATTTCGACATCGATCTCTGGCAGCAGAGAACAAAAGAAGACTTCAAATTTGAGTACAAATGGTTGGAAGAGAACAACCTGGACGAATGAACCAAATTGTAAACAATTTTGTACTTTTCCTGTAATCTAAGATTGGTGGTGATTTAATTTTAATAAACTGACATGAACTGCGCTTGCTTTGGTGAAATGAGAGTTAATATATTATTTTCCCAAGTGTTTGAAATTTATATTCATCCGTTTGTTGAAGACGATTCTCTGTGAGAATAGTCTGCTGGAAATATATAATTTTATTTTTAGACTTTCGGTATTATTTGATGTTGATTTAAGTTAAAATTGTTTATGTGAGCTTCATCACAACCAGTTTTACATATGAAATAACATACCTTGAGTTATTTGATTTTTAATGCTTTTACGCTTCAATTATTGATTGATATTGATCTCTAATGAAACTAATTTTAATAAGTTGCACAGCATGTATATAATATAGACTTTCCGTGACTTCATCGTTAAATATGAATTGTAGCAATTATACTCATCTAGTTACCATAGTTACACTACTAGTTACTCATCTCCCATCGTAACATCTTAGAAAAGGCTACTCTCAACACGATGGTTAAAGAAACGAAACTCTACGATCTATTGGGAGTCACTCCTCAGTCAACTCAAGCAGAAATCAAGAAGTCTTACAGAAAGTTAGCTTTGAAATACCACCCTGACAAGAACCCTGGATCTGAAGACAAGGTAATATTATAATAATAATAATATTGTACATAACACGTAACATTGTACATAATACGTTGTACATAATACATTTTACATAACAAATTGTACATAATACATTCGACATGTTCTTTGGTGGAGGCATAATTACTGTAATATAATCTACTAGAAACCCGCTTATAGTCGAAAGCTTTGTTCGAGGAAATTTTAAAAATCAGTTATGTTTTAATTTCTCTTCATCATATAGCTCTGTTATACTGTAGACATAATGGAATTTATCTAACAATGGCGACAGCGTTGTTAGTATTCGGATTCCCAAAACGATACTTTTTACCGCATCAAAAAATACCAATCACAACCAAAGTTATGAATATAAGTCATAGCGTGAGCGTAAATGTGAGCTAGTTTTGAAATTATGACGTAGCATACAGCATAAGTATAACAACGCGCGTAGTTAAGATGTTATTGCTCGCGCACGTGCATTTTAACGTTGCTACGCAACAGCGCAGTAAACCTTTGCTAAAATAACGACATTATTCTAACGGTTATTTTACCTCACTTCCGACGTTAATTATAAAAAATCTAAAGCCTAAATCAAAATTCTAAGAATGCTATAGCCTATTCCTATCCTTTTTCTACAACCCTGCTAAAAATGGCGAGGTTTCAACTCCATTTGCGAGCTGGGTTTGGCATCACCAGAGGGTCATTTTGAGGTCGATTTTCGGTGTTTTTTCTTCTATGTCCCCGTTGCCGGGGAAATTTCGTCAAGTTTAAAATATAATATAGATAATACGAGTAAGCGATATTTTTGGCTTTCTCCATTAAAAGATAAATTCATTTCACTTACAAGAATAAACTTTCAGTTCAAAGAATTATCGTACGCATTCGAAGTGTTATCAGATGAAACAAAGAAGAGGATATATGACCAAGGAGGCATGGAAGCCCTCAAAGAAGGTTTCAGTAACTTAGTAACTAGTAGTGTAACTATGGTAACTAGTAGTGTAACTATGGCCTGGTAACTAGAAGTGTAACTATGGTAACTGTATAATCCTCAGTACAAAAACATAACTTTAAAAATACTGAAACTGGTTTTTGTTAACCAGTTAAACCATGTTAACAGGAGGTGGAGGAGGCGGTGGACACAATCCCATGGACATATTCGACATGTTCTTTGGCGGAGGCATGCGGGGACACAGAGGACACGAGGGCCCCCGACGAGGCAGAGACATGGTCCATCCTTTGAAGGTACTAGTTGTCATGATTATTTACGGGTCAAATTTCAGTAGCAGTATGTAATAATTACCAGTATGATCTCATTACACTATTTTAAAACTTTTACACATTTCTCTCGATTTTCTTGTCAGATTTTTATTGAAACCTTTATTTAATAGGACTGATTTGACAAAAGTTATTTAAGATTTATTCCCGGATTTTACAGGTTTCACTTGAAGAACTTTATAACGGAGCCACTCGACAACTGGCTCTTAACAAGAATGTCATATGCAGCAAATGTAACGGAAAAGGTACATCATTCTTATCATTCTTATCATTCTTATCACTCTTATCATTCTTATCATTCTTATCATTCTTATCATTATTATCATTATTATCATTATTATCATTCTTATCATTCTTATCATAGTTTCAAAAATTTCAAATGCAATACCAATGTAATTTTATAATTGTGAATTACCTGTTTGAAGCCTAAGGGGAGCCTAAGTGAAGTTGAAGAAGAATGTTTTAAAAAAATATACCGAGGACTGACAGATTACTGTAGACAGATATATCGTAAAAATAGATAAGTCTATAAGTATTTACCTGTATGTAACTATCTACACACACAGACACACAACACACACACAGACACTAGCATTTAACACGCAGGAGGTAAAGACGGCGCAGTCCAGACATGTAATGGTTGTCATGGTAACGGTGTGAAGGTTATTGTACGACAACTTCAGCCTGGTATGATACAGCAAATGCAGACAGTGTGTCCTGATTGTCATGGAAAAGGAGATATTATTCGTGAAAAGGTTTGTTTTTCTTTCGTTTCATTTTCTCTCTTTTTTCATTTACTTTTTACTTATTTTGTATACAAATTTCAAGGACCCATACACCTAAACAGGGTTTAGCCCAAAAAACCTCACAGTTCAGTTATTTTCACACATAACATCTATTTCTGTAATGGAAAAGATTGATTATTTGTTTGATAATAACTCGGCTACACGTGGTGTTCTACAATGTAGAAAAAAGGCTGTGTTTTTATAACCTTTTAAACCGAAAAGTGTGTATTTTACTTTTTTTCTTGGGGGACCATCGGACTGTTTTGATACTTGACATGAAATTGTTCTTGGAATTCTTGTGTGGTTTTTTGATGCCCTCAAAAATGTGCTTAGCCAAATAGAAAGTTAATTTTTCGGACTCCAAAGTCACAAAACAAATTTAGGCATATTTTTTGTTTATCATATTTACAAATTTTGCTAGGGAGTACTATAAATAGCCTCAACTTGAAAATTTACATATCAGTTATGAAAAACATAATATACCTTAAAATACTTCCTATTTAAGTTATGGTGCTCGATTTGAGAACCAAATGTTCTCAAAATTGTCGTTTGATATGAAAATGGTGCGCGAGATGGTACTTCCTGTGAAGTAATTTGGGCTGGGTAGTTTTGTTGTATGGGACCTTACTCCTCAACAATGGGTATAGGTGGGGAAGCCTTTAGCATGTGCTTAAACTTGAGTTATGATGAAAATAAACCATCCTCTAATTAATAAGTCTAGCTAAATTCTAGCTAAATAGAGTATCAGAAATATTCATCTTCAGCCATTGTCCATTTATTCTTAAACTTCTGGCCCCCCTCCTCATTAATAACGTATGTAATAACATGGATAACGTATGTCATAACATGGATAACGTATGTCATAACATTGATAACGTATGTCATAACATTGATAACGTATGTCATAACATTGATAACGTATGTCATAACATTGATAACGTATGTCATAACATTGATAACGTATGTCATAACATTGATAACGTATGTCATAACATTGATAACGTATGTCATAACATTGATAACGTATGTCATAACATTGTTAACGTATGTCTCAACATTGATAACGTATGTCATAACATTGATAACGTATGTCATAACATTGATAACGTATGTCATAACATTGATAACGTATGTCATAACATTGATAACGTATGTCATAACATTGATAACGTATGTCATAACATTGATAACGTATGTCATAACATTGATAACGTATGTCATAACATTGATAACGTATGTCATAACATTGATAACGTACAGGGTGAGTTGAAAATAGTGTGTGGAAAGTAAATGGCTCTAATGTTTTTGACAAATGAAATTTCCACTTAATTTTTGCATATTTAGGTAATGAAAATATATACTTTTTATAATAATACAATTAAAATACTTAATAATTAATAATTTGCTCAACCCATCGTCCTTTATTAGCTAGGACATATTGATAACGTGTAAGACAATTGTCTATAGCCGACTTGACTGTATTATGGGGGCAGGGGGGTCTTCATGGAAATTTTCTCAAAATCGACTTTTTAGTTAGTTGTTTCTGATAGAGGGGAGTAATATCTATCAGATGCTTTTGATGCTGTGGAAAAATATCGTTCCTAGCCGAAATTATTGCTGGTCAAAGGTCAGCGCGTGTGTGGTAATTGTATTGCGCGAGCGATTTTTGATCGCGTGCCCTGAAAATCGAGTCTAAAAATCTATTTTCTCCTACATTTTTTGAGCAATCACCCTGAAACTTTCAGTATATGTTCTAAGGATCATTTAGAAGAGATGAGCCAGACAGAATTTTGAGATAGGCCTTTACAAAATTTTTATTCGATTTTGAAAATCTTGGACTTCGTTTTTTGATAATTTTTTGAGGTCGACGATTTTCAAAATCGAATAAAATATTTTAAAAGGCCTATCTCAAAATTTTGTTTGGCTCATCTCTTTTAAATGATCCCTAGAACATATCCTGAAAGTTTCAGGGTGATTGCTTTAAAAATGTAGGAGAATATAGATTTTTAGACTCGATTTTCAGGGCACACGATTTGAGAACCCCATTAGGACGAATTTAAGATTTTTTTAAAACCGGCAAAAATCAACCAAAAAATGAGAGGCAAGAATGAAATATGTAAAGTTTATGAACTGATAGCAATTCACCTTTCGAAATTTGCTCCTTCATAAAAAAAATTATCGATTTTTACTTTCCACACACTATTTTCAACTCACCCTGTATGTCTTAACATTGATAACGTATGTCTTAACATTGATAACGTATGTCTTAACATTGATAACGTATGTCATAACATTGATAACGTATGTCATAACATTGATAACGTATGTCTTAACATTGATAACGTATGTCTTAACATTGATAACGTATGTCATAACATTGATAACGTATGTCTTAACATTGATAACGTATGTCATAACATTGATAACGTATGTCATAACATTGATAACGTATGTCATAACATTGATAACGTATGTCATAACATTGATAAAGTATATCATAACATTGATAACGTATGTCATAACATTGATAAAGTATATCATAACATTGATAACGTATGTCATAACATCCTCGTCTGTACCTAAAATAGGCTTGCTTGTGTAGGTTTGACATGCCCCTTCAACATTACTGTTAAAATTACATGTTACTTATTGTGTAACATGACGCCTCTAATTGGCAGCGTATCATGCAGCGTCAGTGTAAAGTTATTAGTGTGTGTACTGTGTATTAAGATTATTTAATTATGTAGTACTAATTAGTACTAATCTCTTAATTAGTACTAATCTCTTAATTTATAACCCAATTCAGTGAATTACATCACGACCTAATATTTATTAAATAAAAGTTCTAAACAAGGGATAGTTAAAAACAACGCCCAAGTCTAATCTTTCCATACTAGGATAATATTACATTATGATTATATATGTAATATGCTACTCTACGTAGAATTGTTGTAATCCAATACTCTATTACAGGACCGATGTAGACAATGTATGGGTAAGAAAGTGGTCCGAGAGAGAAGATTCTGGAGGTTCACATAACTAAAGGAATGAAGGACGGCCAAAAGATCACATTTTCCGGCGAAGGAGATCAGGTAATATTTACAGCCGGGATTTTGAACATAAAGTACTTTAATTGTGCAATTACTGTATGATATTTTATCTGCAGTTTAGATGGTCTTATGAACAAAATAAGAATAATTATTTACGTGTAATGATGACAGTTAACAATGTAATTGAGCAGCGAATCTTAACTTTGTAGTAGATATCACACATTACGCAGTACACGGTACATGATTGATACATTTACACTCAAATACTGGATTGGTCAACACTGCTTGCACGGTGATGCATTCACAAAAATCGGACGGATTCATAATAATTGCATTATTTTTCATTATAATGATAGTTGTTCATTGAAAGAGGAGTGAAATTATTCAGTATTCACTGCCAAACAAACCGATTTCCGGCACCGAACAACGAACAACGAACACTGGGACAGTAATTTCCAGTCACACTTTTCCTGAACGGTCTACACTCTCGAAATTTCCCGGGCTAAAACATGTCGAAAGTAGGCTGAAATCCATTGTCGGCTGGCTGTATTCCAATTAGTGCGCGCGCACGTACCGCCGTAACCTTCATTATGTAGAATTGGGCTCTTACGTCACTCTTGGCAATGCTCTTGATTTCGTCACGTGATTCTGAAATGAGTTAACATCCAATTGCTAGCGGATTGTACGTTAAACGCTCTGTCATGATGCGTCTTTGTTTGATGCCTGGGTGCTCCTTCGCATTGGGTATCGTCTTATAATCGCTGTCATTGAATCGTCACAATCATTGCATTCGTGGAGACTTCAGAAATATTAAACTTAACACATAATCGCAGGATCCCGAGATTGAACCGGGCGATATCGTAATAGTGTTGGACGAGAAAGAACATCCAGTTTACAAGCGCAACGGTTCCGACTTGGCTATCGAAATGAACATTAAGTTGGTGGAATCGCTGTGCGGATTTGAGAAAATCATCACAACGTTGGATAATAGAACACTTATAGTTCAGAGTTTTATCGGCGACATCATTAAACCAAGTACGTGATACCTAGCTGTGATACCTAGATGTTACCATCTTTACTTCTTTTACCCTTATATTTTGTCCATCCATGTCAATATTCTGCACATGTACCATACATCTATGGAACTATTTAAAATCCTTAAATTTGTCAATTGTTTGGCAGTCATAATTGGAAGGAGAATATAGATTTACTTTCTTAATTCTTAATGCTAATTTTCTATAGTTAATCATGTTTTCATACGGTTAAAATAATCGCCTTTAGTTTATTTTGCTTGTGTTTCTACTGTTTTTTGACACTGAATTTACAGGAGATGTAAAGTGTATAATGAGCGAAGGAATGCCTTTATTGAGAGATCCCTTCAGCAAAGGCAAGCTGATCGTGCAGTTCAACGTGAGTGTGCCAAGTATATTAAAAACGTTCTTATATCCGTATTTTAAAAACGTTCTTATATCCGGCTTAATTTAATATGTATAGAACTGCTTGACAAATTAATTATAAAAATATATACATTCATGTTAATATATTTTTAGAAATAAAAATATATTTCTATATCTTATCCATGATACTTGATATGTGATACTAAATGTTAGAACATGAGTACTATAAGAGTTTCTCCGCTGTTCTTTAAGAGTTTATTCACTATTACCACAAATTTAACAAATAAAGCTCCTACATTTAAAATAACTAAAAGATAAGAATTGTCTTTAACCTGCACGCATTCCAGGTGGAGTTTCCAGAAAAAGGTGACATTCCGTCCGCTACATTGCAACAGATCGAGACCTTGCTTCCACCACGCGAGCCCATCGAGAAGAAACCAGAAATGGAGGAGGTCATGTTGTCCGACTACGACGCCTCCGCGTCCGCTCACCAAGTAAGTGTGGTTCATTATTTAACACTTGAGCTGTGTAAAACCGTGTTCGTGCCAACCGTTATAATTTGTTATTTTTATTGAACACAAAATTGAAGTAGTTGTAATCAGTAGTCTAGACAGTAAGATAAAAGAGATTAGATAAGCCCGTACAGCAAAATATAAGTGGAATTTCTAATAACTATTGAGCTAAACGGTCTTTTTGGTTGTGTTACTGATTTCTGAAAGCTAAGTTAAGCCGTTTTTTAGAGCTCTCTACTCGATATTTTGAAGTGGTTGGTGCTGTTGATATCGGCGGTTACCATGGTTACCATGCTATATCAGTATTTACCAACGTTTCGTAGATGATCCCTGAAAGCAAGTGTTTCAGGTAATTTTAGCAGTTTTGTAGGCAGTAGGCTGGAAACAATACCCCCTGTGTGTAGTACCTGCTCCTCGATCACACAGCTCAAGTGTTCTATTTTCTCTCTCCTGGGGGCGTTCACATATTACGTAATCAACCGAGCGGGGGAAGGGGGGTTCCAAGTGATTACGCTAGTGTAATTTTGACATAGCTATGTGTACAAATTTGAGGGGGAAGGAAAGTTAAAAATTGGCCAAATAGTGGTAACGTAATATGTGAACGACCCCTCCTGCAAATTGTTTTACTTTAGTCAACACGGGTCAAGATTCAGTAACTACAATAACGATAACGACCACCCTCCCTCAGGCGTACGCAGATGACAGTGATGATGAGAACGGTCCAGGTGGGCCGGGTGTCCAGTGCCGCACCCAGTAGGAACGGACCCGAGAGTAGCCAAATACCAGGACGCAGCTCCACATACACGTGACGGCCACGTGACGACCACGTGACGGCCACGTGACGACCACGTGACGGCCATGTTGTGACCGTTGTTCGTGTCATTTGAAGTTGCTGTTTCAGTCACTCCAATCCGGGTGATTTTAATTCTGGTGAATGTAGTAGTTTTCTGAAAGTTCACATTTTCAGGGCGACCCTTTCCTCTGACATTTTTGTATAATACCTTCCCAAAATGTCCGCACTTGTTCTGGCAACGGTGCTTTCAAAATATTTACAAAACTTCGAAGTTACAACTGTTCAAAAATAATAATTTATATGATCCCTACAGTTTTGTTTCCATAGTTAACAGTATTTGGGTATGATGATGTTAATTGTAATAATATATTTCGTCTAACGAGATCGCGAAAAAGAGATCGCGACAGCTCACGCGTGTCTGCTCACGCGTGTCTGCTCACGCGTTTCAGCTCACGCGTGTCAGCTCACGCGTGTCTGCTCACGCGTGTCTGCTCACGCGTGTCAGCTCACGCGTGTCTGGTCACGCAGACAGTGGTATACTAGCTCGGTATATTGGTTGTTGAAATTTGTTTGCTCGTTTTGCTCAGGTGTGTTCCTGCAAACTCTTCGTTGTAACAGCGTTGTTAAAAATATATTTTGATACAGTCTTACAATGCCGAGTTTTATTTGTATCCTGGCATGAAGCCAAACAAATGTTATAATATTTAGGAAACTTAGCTGATGATGAAAGGTTAATAAATCCACACAACTGAGCTATGCTTAAAAACTACAAAAAGTTAATTCCAAGAAATAGGAATGAAGCCCGTGCAATTATATTATTATTATATATATATTATTAATCGCGGTGCACGTAAATTAAAGGTCTTCATTGCAGCATATTCCGTTGTGCAGTACATTTGGTTAGTCAGAGTATAGACTAAGAGTAAGACAGGCTTTGTGTTTGGAACTCGCCACCGCGTGTCGGTTATTCTCGGACGGTGCCAGTGCTTCAATATATATTAAAGTATTAATATACTCATATCTATTGTTGTGTGCGTGTCAAACAACAACTATTATACCATCTTCATTCGAGAATGTATCGCAATTGTTATGCAAGAATTTTTAAAACGGACATCGTACCAATCCATCCCCCGGTCGATGATTACGCATTATTACTCACAGCATATCGTTCATTTGCGGCTGCTTTGTTACTTACACGTTCAGTAAATCTACGCTTAACAAGTTTAATCGGATCCGTTTAAATCTTGACAGGAAGGTTTTATTTTCCGCAAACTAGCCCAACGTTTTGAGACTTGATTTTTTTGTCGAACTTACAAATTTTAAGTAGACCTCAAATTTATTATTTTTTGTAGCTTATCATTGATAGTGAGAGGCACAAGGCAATGAATGGACAATGAACTTTAAAATTCAACAGATATGTCTGTATGAGATAATGTTAATAGGGATGGATCTGACTCAGAATTAAAATTATAAATATAAATAATTGATCTTAATCAATAATAATAATGATAATCATGGTTTAATAGTCAGCAGTGATTATATTGCAGATCAGTCAGTAACTTTGGCGAAATGGTGACAGTTTACCTTCGCTCCAGTGAGTCTTCAATACCGAACCAAAATAAATATTATTATAAAACGACCTGATACGCTTACAAAATCGTGAGCCCCATAATCCCATGATCTAAACCTACTTGAGTATTGGTGCATGACGTCCTGGAAGCTAATTATAGGCTGTCGAACAGATCCTGGCATGGAGCCAAACAAACAGATTTGCACCTCTCTAGTCTCCAGTAATTCCAGCTTATAAAGTGTGTTTAAACTTTGCACTCCTCATTCCTCAACAAATTAAATGTTTTCACATTGTGCATTAGTATTAACGGTATTAAGTATAATTAACGGTATTAAGTATAATTAACGGTATTAAGTATAATTAACGGTATTAAGTATAATTAACGGTATTAAGTATAATTTTACAACACAGCGATAAGGTGGTCCGTTATAGTTTATACCAAGCTGAGATACGGCAGTATGTTTATGATTAGTTATGTTTATGATTAGTTATGTATGTTAAGTATGTTTATTTGCTGTCATTGTTGAGTGCGGAATCGTCGCAATTAGTCATTAAATGCTGCAAACTTGATCAAATAGTGCTAAAGGTTTCCGTTGATATTATTTGAGATGTCTAAAAACCTGCCCATTTACGGTTGTCATTGCATTTGCATAGCACATGCACAAACACAGTGTACTCTACATTTACCGTTTCCCTGAAGTGCTTTAACTTGATACTTGTTTCGTATCCAAATATCAGGGATAAAGTGGCATGCAACGTATGTCAAGCTTTAACTGTTAAACACCACTCAAAAATTTAAGCACTCCGAAACCTACTCTGCACTTATTCTTATGACAGATTTTTGACAAAGTTTGGAATTTTATAGGGGGTTCTAAAAGGGGGTTTCTGGTAACCTTGGTAACCCCCACCAGATTACCTGAGGACCCCAGGCTATTATGTTCATTAATAAAGATTTGGCGGAATGACAGGCTGAGCGCGGCCCAGTAACCACCAGGAGGCCAGGAGGGGGGGGGGGGGGGGGGGGGGGTTTCTGAGAGCTGACGATTTATTCTCATAGTCCTTAAGTTTAAGCAAATTTGTCAGAAAACAATGTTGATACTATATAATAGTACGATACTGTGTGCTCTAAGTCTAGACCCACTTTAATCAGTATATTGCTCAATGAGAGCCATTATTCCACCACCACATATCCAGATCCTGATACACCTTTAGAACCGCTACACTCGGCAGCAGTAGCTGATTATTAGTCACATTCTGCAGGTGCAAGCTCCGTGTAATTAACTGTGATCCAGGTAGATGGCTCCGTGATGTGTGATGTGTGATGTGTGATGTGTGATGTGTGATGTGTGATGTGTGATGTGTGATGTGTGATGTGTGATGTGTGATGTGTGATGTGTGATGTGTGATGTGTGATGTGTGATGTGTGATGTGTGATGTGTGATGTAGGAACCATCATGTACTTGGTAACCTTGGTAACCCCCACCAGGAGCCGGTTGTATTGTTATTTCCTCATGAATATTAACTAGAAGGACCGGCCGGTACTAGTGCACTGGTGCCCTGATCTTTTTACTTGCGAACTGTACCGTGTACTATTGACTATAATTATTCCACACCGAGAGGGCGAACTGTACTTGGTAACCATGGTAACCACACCGCGGAGCAAGACTTTATATTGTAACAAGTCTTTTGTAGGCTGTAATTGGATAAAATAATTCATAACCATGCATCGAGGGTAAAGATCTTATAGCTGAGAATAGCACTAGCAGAGAGTTACGCTATATCAGTATGCGTTTACTATAACTTATAACTCATGGCTCCGTAACTGGTTACACTTACAATTCTACATTTTTAGAGAAGTAGTAGTACCTTCACTTGGTTACCTGGTTACCTGGTTACCTGGTTACCTGGTTACCTGGTTACCTGGTTACCTGGTTACCTGGTTACCATGGTTACCAAGTACCTTCACTTTCTCAATACAATGCCATCGATCACAACTCTATCTACATTCTAGCGCTTCTTGACTTTCTAAAAAAGGAAGAATTAGAGAGGTCGTGTTTCTTCTTTCTCTAGGCCACATTTTAACTCACCTGCTGGAAGTAGTAATGCTCACCTCCGTAAGCAACTCACCTGCATTTCAACTCAGTCCAGGAGAGAGATTCGCAAGCAGTAGCGACTTGTGGTATTTAATCTGTAATCGAGGACTGCAGAAGTGAGCCGGACATTTCTCAAAGATATTTAAGCGGAGTGTCATTATAGTACTCAGTACCTTTTAATTCGCACTTGTACACACGTGGTTTAACGTCGTTAGTTATAGCTGGTCCGACAGTAAATGTTAGATAAGAGAGATCGGTATTTAATGTTCCTGCTCGACAACTCCGCAAGCAGCTCACCTGCTGGCTGGAAGTAGTAATGCTACAGATCTTCGAGCAATGACTTGAACGGCTTTTGATTCGTCTCTATCAGTATTTGAATCTGGTCAAGTACACTCTGTAATTTCTTGGCAGCAGTACAGCAGAGCAAGTGTTGTAATGATTCTTGCAACTGTAACTAAAGCTGCATTACTATTAGTACTGTAGTTGCAGGTGTTACTCTAGCAAACCTTTCACTACTTCTGCAGTTGTAGGTTTACAATTAATATAGTTGTAGTGTACAATCAATATAACCTTCTACTTAGATCTGTCAACTTCTAGGCTGCCCGCAGCAAGTTGTCCACACGATTAGTTAAAGCAAGTTGCCCACATGATTAGTTGAAGCAAGTTGTCCAGACATGTTCGGCAAGTTGTCCAGATATGAGACATGTTCGGCAAGTTGTCCAGACATGTTCGGCAAGTTGTCCAAATATATTCGGCAAGTTGTCCAGACATGTTCGGCAAGTTGTCCAGACATGTTCGGCAAGTTGTCCAGATATGTTCGGCAAGTTGTCCAGATATATTCAGCAGGTATTTTACACATTGAACTTACTAGAGCCTGTTAAAGAGTAAACGTCAGCTCCCTTTCGTTAAGTGTGACTTGCAGGGGTGTAGGAATGACTTGTTGTTGTATAGCGGGTACATTTACGAAATTGTTTAACTCTTACTTTGTCTGTCATCAATTGTACACACTGTTTGCTAGTCTGCAGACTCTCTCTCTCTCTCTCTCCTCTCCTCCTCTCGTCTCTCTCTTCGCTCTCTCTCCGCTCCTCTCTCTCTCTCTCCTTCTCTCTCTCTCCTCTCTCTCTCTCTCTCTCTCCTCTCTCTCTCTCTCTCTCTCGCCCTCTCTCTCTCGCTCTCTCTCCTCTCTCTCTCACGCCCTCTTCTCTCTCTCACGCGCCCCCCTCTCTCTCTCTCTCTCTCTCTCTCTCTCTCTCTCTCTCTCTCGAGCAGTTTAAATGTTTCTCTGTTTTGCCTGTTTCTTTACTTTTTGTTTGCTTTGGAATATCACGAACATCTTTAAATGTTTTTAGCTTGAATAGAACGTGCTAAGTAAGAACTTACTTCGGCTTGACATGCTTCTAATTTATTATTAGAATATCAGTATTATATAGTAGTATTTAAAGTAAAGTTTTAGTGGTGATTGTGCAATAATCAGTATGCCCAATTACGATGTCGTAGTGTACGCTAACATCAGTGATATGATCACCCAATCAATTTTGTTAACGAGGTATACAAATTGCTTGTTGACTTCGTCATTTTGAATCTGTTTTGCGTCATCTTTTCAGATCATATTCCACATTTAATGACCTATCACAATATGTTAAAATGAAGTTTATAGCATGTCCGCAAACGCTGTTAAATCATAACAGTGACTGCGTCGAGTTAAAGCTCGGTCTGAGTTGTGAACTTTATGGGTCTGAGTTATGAACTTTGTGAGTCTGAGTTATGAACTTGGTGAGTCTGAGTTATGAACTTTGTGAGTCTGAGTTGTGAACTTTGTGAGTCTGAGTTATGAACTTTATGAGTCTGAGTTATGAACTTTATGAGTCTGAGTTATGAACTTTATGAGTCTGAGTTATGAACTTTATGAGTCTGAGTTGTGAACTTTATGAGTCTGAGTTATGAACTTTGTGAGTCTGAGTAGTGAACTTTATGAGTCTGACTTGTGAACTTTATGTGTCTGAGTTATGAACTTTATGAGTCTGAGTTGTGAACTTTATGAGTCTGAGTTGTGAACTTTATGTGTCTGAGTTATGAACTTTGTGAGTCTGAGTTATGAACTTTGTGAGTCTGAGTTGTGAACTTTGTGAGTCTGAGTTGTGAACTTTGTGAGTCTGAGTTATGAACTTTGTGAGTCTGAGTTGTGAACTTTATTAGTCTGAGTTATGAACTTTATGAGTCTGAGTTGTGAACTTTGTGAGTCTGAGTTGTGAACTTTATGAGTCTGAGTTGTGAACTTTCTGTGTCTGAGTTATGAACTTTGTGAGTCTGAGTTGTGAACTTTGTGAGTCTGAGTTATGAACTTTATGAGTCTGAGTTGTGAACTTTGTGAGTCTGAGTTATGAACTTTATGGGTCTGAGTTATGAACTTTATGAGTCTGAGTTATGAACTTTATGAGTCTGAGTTATGAACTTTATGAGTCTGAGTTATGAACTTTGTGAGTCTGATTTATGAACTTTGTGAGTCTGAGTTATGAACTTTGTGAGTCTGAGTTATGAACTTTGTGAGTCTGAGTTATGAACTTTCTGAGTCTGAGTTGTGAACTTTGTGAGTCTGAGTTATGAACTTTATGAGTCTGAGTTATGAACTTTATGAGTCTGAGTTGTGAACTTTATGAGTCTGAGTTGTGAACTTTGTGAGTCTGAGTTGTGAACTTTGTGAGTCTGAGTTGTGAACTTTCTGAGTCTGAGTTATGAACTTTATGAGTCTGAGTTATGAACTTTATGGGTCTGAGTTATAAACTTTGTGAGTCTGAGTTGTGAACTTTGTGAGTCTGAGTTATGAACTTTGTGAGTCTGAGTTATGAACTTTGTGAGTTTAAGGCGTTGTTACTTGTTCTCAGACAGATTTGGTTGACTAACCCAGACGTTGTATATAGTTTTACGTTCTGTGTGAGTAATCAGTAGACAAGTCTATGTTTTGTGAAAATTACACGTAATTCAAATAATTACATGTAATTATGTTTGTATTAAAAGTAGGCCACTGTACGACACAGTTCGGGCTCCTCTTGTCAATTCCAGTCTGGTTAAATAATGTTGTCAGTTCGTGCTAACTGCTAGCCAGGGCTCACTCTGTCTAGATAATACCTGGTTACCTGGTTACCTGGTTACCTGGTTACCTGGTTACCTGGTTACCTGGTTACCTGGTTACCTGGTTACCTGGTTACCTGGTTACCTGGTTACCTGGTTACCTGGTTACCTGGTTACCTGGTTACCTGGTTACCTGGTTACCTGGTTACCTGGTTACCTGGTTACCTGGTTACCTAAACAATGTTGTCAGTTCGTGCTAACTGCTAGCCAGGGCTCACTCTGTCTAGATAAAACCTGGTTACCTGGTTACCTGGTTACCTGGTTACCTGGTTACCTGGTTACCTGGTTACCTGGTTACCTGGTTACCTGGTTACCTGGTTACCTGGTTACCTGGTCCTGGTTACCCGGTAACCTGGTAACCCGGTGGCCGGTAACCTGGTTACCCGGTAACCTGGTAACTTGGTAACCTGGTTACCTGGTGACCTGGTTACCTGGTTACCTGGTTACCTGGTTACCTAAACAATGTTGTCAGTTCGTGCTTACTGCTAGCCAGGGCTCACTCTGTCTAGATAATACCTGGTTACCTGGTTACCTGGTTACCTGGTTACCTGGTTACCTGATTACCTGGTTACCTGGTTACCTGGTTACCTGGTTACCTGGTTACCTGGTTACCTGGTTACCTGGTTACCTGGTTACCTGGTTACCTGGTTACCTAAACAATGTTGTCAGTTCGTGCTAACTGCTAGCCAGGGCTCACTCTGTCTAGATAAAACCTGGTTACCTGGTTACCTGGTTACCTGGTTACCTGGTTACCTGGTTACCTGGTTACCTGGTTACCTGGTTACCTGGTTACCTGGTTACCTGGTTACCTGGTTACCTGGTTACCTGGTTACCTGGTTACCTGGTCCTGGTTACCCGGTAACCTGGTAACCCGGTGGCCGGTAACCTGGTTACCCGGTAACCTGGTAACTTGGTAACCTGGTTACCTGGTGACCTGGTTACCTGGTTACCTGGTTACCTAAACAATGTTGTCAGTTCGTGCTTACTGCTAGCCAGGGCTCACTCTGTCTAGATAATAGATATCCAGTATCCACCTTTCTAACGTACTTTTCAAGATCTCTATAATTTAGAGATGTACTGGTTTGGCGTTCTGGATTTAAAATGTTCCTGATTTTTTCAATGCTTTGAGATTGAGGAACATTCGCCGCAGGAAAAATGTTTGATTTTGTCCATAATTTGACTTAAAAGAAGCAAATAACTTTGTGCATTTTACCTACGATTGCTTGCGGAAACTCTGCCAAGAAGTTGGATTAAAGTCGTTAGTGAGCTATAGTTTGGCTGATAATGAACATTTTAAAAGGTATTTATTGAGTCAAACTGACTGTTTAACAGTTTTGTTAACCTTGTCGCATATCTGCCATATTTATTAATATTTTGATCAAACTGCAAGTAACATATAAGGTTGGAGGCTTTATTTTATTTCTTAAAATTTGCTGTCCCAAAAGAACAACAACACTTCTGGTCACAGAGAGCACAAAGCATTTTTTAGTACTAGCGAGATTAAGGCCGAGATTACTCGATCGACGTCAGGGAAAAAGGAAATCGCGGCATGTGCGGGATCGCGATATTTCCAATTATTTGCGACAAATTTTATATATTATAGTCTTATGCATAGTCTGTTAAAATCACGGTATCGCGATTTTTGGGCAAAATAATTGCGATTTTCTTTTGTCCCCGATCGCCGTTCGCCACTACATGACTACACAGTCCATCTCGTTCTCCTTAGTCCAGAACAATGCACATTGCACAGGGACCGTTTCTCAATCCCATAAGTATGTGATCGGCACCATAATCTGCATATTTTACATAACTTAGAGTATATTTATAAGCTGGCCGATAATCTTTAGCTTTTTGTTACATTTTATTGTAATTTTGAGCCTTTGACGGCAACATTTTCGCGACTAATGCCATTATGACTAATAATAAACTGCCCCACCTGTATTACTGTATTACTATTATGACTAATGCTATTAATATTGATGTTAGCAGACAAGTTGACCGTATAATGGCTTTCAATGTTGGAATGGACGAGAGGAAGACTTCTGGGTTCGGCGGACGGGCCACTTCTTCCATAAAGTAAGTTTACAGCACACACTACGGGCCACTTCTTCCATAAAGTAAGTTTACAGCACACACTACGGGCCACTTCTTCCATAAAGTAAGTTTACAGCACACACTATGAATACATCAGTTTTATAATACATTCTCGGACAAAGAAACCCGTTTTTTGTTATACCGAATTAAGATTTATGCTTGTTTTTGGTAATATCACGTTATCAAGAGCTTGAAATTGAATTCCATTCAAGTGATTGTGAGGATCAATATTGGGAATCATAAATATGGCCTCAAATTTCATAGTTTGGTAGCTAATTCAGATCTGAATAAATAATAATAACCTCAATAGTCCTGGTTACCTGGTAACCCCAACACAACATGTTCCTAAGCGCTGGATTGTAGTCTGATAAAAACAAAATATCATTATCAATATTATACTAATCAGTATTACTGATTACTAATCGCTGGCACACCATCTCCTGTTCCAACATTTAATGATAACAATCCACACAAGTACTTATACCACCACGGTTACTATAACCATCAGTTCTATTTTACTTTTATTGACAAACTCGACTTCGTTTGATTGATTTCCGAAAATTGATTTCCGCACAAAAATGCCCCTTTTGTGCCACGAGGTAGTGACAAGTTCACCTAAACGAGAAACTAACAACATGTCACGTGACATGCCCCGTGACATGTCACGTGACAGTGCTCCTCTCCTCAGAATAACCACTAATCCCGGAGGAAACTCAACTATCAATATCTACGAATCTGAGAATCCTGAAGGAGAGGAACACGTCGTCTCCCAATGCCAGGTATTATATTCAGGCTGCCAGGCTGCCAGGTATGAAGGCTGTTAAGGATGTTTTACAGTTTTACAGTTTTACATTTGTCCTTAATTCTCGGGATGTATTCTCTAGAGAACATTTTATGCGCTCTAATTTATTTGCGATTTAATTATAAAGTTTTAACTCTGCCACCATATAATTAACTGTATCCAAAAATTAATGTTCACCTGACCATCTTGTTTGTTTGTTTGTTTGTTTGTTTGTTTGTTGAACCCGTCCCCAATCTCGTATCGGAAAATGATTAAACTCAATTCTAAGTGTGAATACGGGTGGTACCTGCAAGTGTGTTCATTGAGCATTTAATTTTATAGAGTTCTGTAAAACTGCAGTTACAATTATTGTGCGAGAATATTTTTAGTATTTACGATCGATATCAGATCTCTATCCCTACATGCTTCCAAAATTTAAATCTCCATCTTTTTGCACAATGTACTGGAATGTTTGAAAAAAGTGATATAGAAATAAAATCAACGATTTAATTCTAGGAAAGTAAAATTAATTCCCTGGTTTCTTAAGTCAGCTTTAAAGTCAGAAAATCAAAGTATGTAACGTCGATACCAAACCGATTATTGAGCGATGATAGCTAAGTAGTTGATTCCTGGGTCGCAGGGTCCTCCTGATTCCGCATTCTTTGAATCTGGTTTTTGTTCTTGTTCATTTCTGTCCATAGTTTGGAAGTGTCATGTTGTCCTCAAATTATTTGTTTGTTTTATAAGGCTCGCTACTTATGTTGGTTCAGAAAAGGAAAACACGAGGAGGCTCACGTGTTTAATCATGTGATGTTAGCTAAGTTATTGATTCCTGGGTTGCCAGGTAACCATCTCACATCTGGGTCCGACCATTTTGTAAGCAGTCACCATCTGCTCCAGATTCGTAGATTATTTGTATCAATTTAAGGTACGAACAACGAAAACAAGAGTAATAACGATGGTTACAAGATATTAAACTATAAAACAATACAATGAATAATTCGACAAACTCCTGCTTTAACTCCTAGTTCACCAGACTTATATTGCCCAAAATCGCCCACCGATCTAATGATCTTATCCTACCATAACATATCACATCATGAAATACAATCACTATACACATACTATAGCCAGACATACTATTATATATAAAGTCGGCCGTCAATACTTGTCTATATTCACGCTGAAACTCCTAGCTTAAATCCGCCATGACCCATGCCATTATGTCTACTATCAATCCCTCTCTAGGCCAACCAGAACTCAACCAGAGTTACAGGTTCCGACCACCAACTATCCTTCGATAGGACAAACCACCAACTCTCTCTCCCAGTTCAGGCTCCCTTACAGTCCGGCATCAATGACGCTCTATCGAATCGGGAAAACTCCATCTCCTTCTCGACCGTCCGTCCGACCTTATATATTCCTCTACCAGCCCTGTATGTGCCGCACCAAAATACGGCCCGCCTATGCTGTATGCTCCGAAAACTCATTATTCTCTATTAACTGCATTCTAATCTATAGCACGCACTGTCTTGTCAACAAGTCGGCCTGATTTTCTCGTGCTCTCTGTTGCTTATTCAACCAACATCGAACTACAGGCCGTCTAATTTTATCTATGATTATCATTAATTCCCTACCAGTATTTTCAGCCACTACCCACATCACTCCCGTCGTGTTCTTGCCATAAGCCTCTACATGCTCGTTGCACAATGATTATTTCGGCCGCTACTAATGATAACTCCGCATTCTCTTGAGTAATCGGTTAATATTATAAATCTATATAATTTAACTTAATAATGATACTTCCAGAAAAATTGACTCAGAATATTCACTGCGTACACAACTTTACAAAATATGATCTTTTTTTAGAACCTTACTATAATAGTATAAAAATTTAATAGAAAATCTCGAACTAAAGACCCTATACCTTGCCCGATCACGGCTTACACAACTTAACAAAATCTGATCTTTCTTAGAACCCTACTATACTGGTATAATAATTTACTCTCCTTAAAAACCCCTTTCTGCACTTCCTCAACATTTCTAAATCACAAATTTTTGGAACCCAACTATAATAATTTAATAACAACTCACAATTTCTAAACGTTTTTTAATGTGTCCATTTCATTCTTCGTCTCTTCTTACCCGTGTCTTGTTCGACGTTCAGAATATCCTCATCTGGCCTTCTGTTCCATGTCTTTGTTCTTCGTTCAGCATATCAACTTTTTATCTTCGCTTTGGATATTAGCAATCATCTCCGATATCTTCGGTGGTCTCCGACTCTGTGTCCCCGTCCAGGATATCAGCATTTGTCCCCGACTTGGTGTCTCCGTCCAGGATATCAGCAATTTTCTCCGTCTCTGTGTCTCCGACCAGGACATCAGTAATTTCCTCCAACACTGTCTCTCCGTCCAGGATATAAGTTAGTATCCCCGTTTGTAGTAAAGTAGGATTAGGGTCAATTTAGTAGGGTCTAGGGTTAAGTTAGGTTTTTAGTACAGTTTATATTATAGTTTAATAGTTAGTTCTTATAGTCCATAATTAGAGTAAAGTAATTTCGTAGGTTTTATATTGCAGCATCTTTTAGAATCCTTTTAGTGCTAGGTTACATTCATTTACATTTCTTATCTTTACATTTTAGTTTTACGTGTAAGTACGAGCACGCGGAAGTTGTACTCATGCGTGACTTATATTCACGCGTGAGTACAGCCTTTTTAAGGGCCTACTTGTTCAGTGCGGGCGTCTGTGTCACGTCCCCCTTTTGGAGAGTTTTTAAGATTATTACAAAGTACAATACGTTTATTTACCGAGTTATCCAAAGACTTTTCTCTATTCTATTTAGACATTTTTAGTGAGACACACTTCTCACCTTTATAAATTTACTGTTGAAGTTTAGTAAGGCACACTCCTTACTGTTGTATCGGACACACTTCTGATACAACCAAATTGTAGAGACACACTTCTCTCCTTTATTGTTACGTATTTGTTGTTGAAGTTTAGTAAGGCACACTCCTTACTGTTGTATCGGACACACTTCTGATACAACCAAATTGTAGAGACACACTTCTCTCCTTTATTGTTACGTATTTGTTGTTGAAGTTTAGTAAGGCACACTCCTTACTGTTGTATCAGACACGCTTCTGATACAACCAAATTGTAGAGACACACTTCTCTCCTTTACTGTTACGTATTTATTGTTGAAGTTTAGTAAGGCACACTCCTTACTGTTGTATCGGACACACTTCTGATACAACTAAATTGTTGAGACACACTTCTCTCCTTTTCTGTTATTGATATTGGGACATACTTCCCGATCGTTTGATACTAGTGAGTGTAGATTGACATAAGTTAGGAACGCCCACGTTCTCGCCACGTAAGACCACTTTTAGTATAATACCTCGTTTACAACATCTGGAGGGCCACGGAAAGTAAACTTAATGTCGTCTACCTTACTGTCCGAACTAGAAGCTTCCGTAAAAGCAATAGCTGAATTAGATGAACAGATAAGTAGTTTGATAAAGCAGAGTAAGGATGGTCAAGATACTAGTCAGGATGTAAAGGAAATAAATATAAATCTAGGAGAACTTGTTGTCAAAATTACTACTGCTAAAGTTGAGCACACAAACATCGAGAGACAAATAGCACAGTATAATTCAGAACATCAACAGTACTTACAATCTGATAATAAACGTACTAATGCTGATAACAAACAGGAAATAGTTTCACCTCAAGAATTTCAAGAACACAGTTTCTTGCACGATGTGCCTAGCGTACATGTTCAGTCAAAAGCTCAAATCGCCAAGCCTCCTAAGTTTAAGGTTGGGCAAGATATATGTATATTTTTAGATAGATTTGAACAGTACATGATTATAAGTGGTGATAGTTACGTTAACAACCTAGATCTACGTCTATTAAATCTTGTAGAAGACGATAAGATGTACCGGAAGTTTAAAAGCATTTTGAATACCATAAAAAGTGCTAACATTTTGTCCGTGACTAAATTCACTGCGGCTATCAGAGCAGTATTGTACCCAGATGCGGAGTCACGTACCTTGAGAGATGCTATGTACAAATTAAGGCAGAATCCGGATGAAAATGTGGAGGATTTCGCATTACGTATTGAAACAGAAGCTGCGAAGGCGTTCTCTCCCCTTGAGCACACTCTCAAGAATGAGGCGTGTTTGTCTGCTTTGGGTAATGGGCTACACAGTGTAGAAGTAAGGCGGAAACTTAAGGAATCTGAGTTGAAGTTGTTTGATGTAGCTACACGCTTAGCTATCAAACACGAACATATACTGATATCAACCCAGGATCATGGTGATTTAGAACCAGTTTCACAGTTGCAGTCTTCATTTGACGTTTTACGTATTGACGGCCCAGATCAACCTCGTGTACCACATACCAATTACCGCACAGTACAGAACCACAACCAGAACAACTCAAGGCGCAGTGAACGCCCCATGATCTGCTATAACTGTAACCAGCCTGGACACATGGCGAGATTCTGTCGTAGTATCAGATCTGATCAGTACCGCAGTGAACAAGATGTTAGATCATGTAATATCTGTCATAGGACAAACCATCACACAAGTCAATGTTGGTCTAGAAATCAGAACCGTTATAGTAGGAATTCTGGTGCAAACACGTATTCTCAGTTTAACAACAATCAACGGTCTTCTTTAAACGGGAATACGGCTGGCGAGTTCACGGTACATCCCAGCCGTCTCAATTAGGTACTAACTATAACCGTGTTGATAAGATAGTATCTAAGAAAGAACTATTAGCGAAGGGTAGCTGTAAGGGTGTACCCGTTCATGTATTTTTAGATAGCGGAAGTGGTGTAAGTTTAGTGTCACCAGGATTTATCAATAGAATAGGTCTGGTAGATAAAGTACAGAATTCCAAAGCAGCACTGACGTCATTTTCGAATAATACCATAACTGTACTAGGTCAAATAAGCTTAGACCTTAGAATTGGAGAAGTTGTATCAGCTCGGCA